AGAGAGTAACAATCTCAAAAAAGATGTAGGGGAGATAAGGACGATAGATGTTTGATAGGAAAGAAGGAGCAAACCACATCACAGTGCCCGCTAACCACACATCTGTTAAGTTTTGATGGTATCACCTTTCTCCCTGTACAAAACAAAAAAAAAAAAAGAAAAAAAAAGGAGGACACGAAAACTACACCTGAGAGTGACAACTACAGTATAATCCACTTATATCGACATCCGATTTATCGACATATTTTCTAATTACGAAATTTTTCCTTCAATATCTCCACTTCATAATTTCTCTTATATCAACTTTTTTTTCGGCCCACTCTGCTTTATCAACATTCTTCCTGGGTACCTGGCGAAGTCCGCGATCATAAATGGGGGAAAAAAAAGCAATGCTAACGGTCAACGTAATACTTCTTCATTAAGTCCACATACCCGGCAAGTAGCCTATATCGACACACCAGGCTTTAGTAGGTCATGTAGGGCTTACACAGTGTAGTCTCTAACACAGTACAGTGCCTCACAGACGTGAGCATCTCGCACGCTGGGTATCACCTCCTTACCCCCACTCCCAATCATGTCTTTTACTGCTGACCTCCCCTTTCCTCTTTGGCTTTATATTCTCATTTATCGACTTTTTTATATATCAACATCAAATCCACTCTCCAAAGCATGTCGATATCAGCGGATTTTACTGTAGCTTCATGATAGTATCAGACAGTCACTAACATGAGTGCTCCCTGCGTTTCCAAAGGTGGAAAACTGGAGGAACGGTTGATCAGGGGACATGAGGATCTGCAGCACTTCACTTGTGGTATCCAGCTCATTAAACACCTCCTTCAGACACTCACTCTACAAAGTGCAGAAAAATACAAAGCACACATTTTTCCACATGACATTTTCAAAATGGTGTTAAGTAAATAAAGAACATAACGCTATCCTAGAAGAACAAAGTTCTGTCAGCATATTTTGAGAAATTTGACGTTAAATTGTAAGTTTCACAATCCATCAAGCTTTTAAAAATAAAATTCTTTGAATATCTTGATAGCGACTCTAAATAATCTAACGATTTTGATAGAGCAGATAGAACATTTGTTTTCTGACTTCAAGGTCTTAGCCATGTTTGCCTATAACTAAATAAAAAGGAGCAGCATGTCATACGAGGCTGCTTATGTGAACTAAGCGTTCTGTTCTACTGAAATGTAGATACATGTAAAGAACTTACAACAAGCAAGAATGTATAAATTGTTCTTACACACTGTCCTGAGACATTATAAAAAAGCACAGACATCTTTACCTTCATAATGATCTTGTTTACTACATTGTCTGAGCAGAAATCAAAGTCTAACACTTCATCAGGTTCCAAAGTTTTTAAACTGCAGTCTGTCAAAACACCATCTTCTTCCAGCCTGGGGAAGCAGTTAGAAATTTAAAAAAGCAAAGAGAAATTGAAAATTTAAAGTGATTTTTGAAAGATAACGGCATTTAAAAAAATGCTGTTAAGAAAAAAAAATGTCACAATGGTACGTAATTACGACCGACAAAAACATTATACTCACTTCAGATCATAAGATCAACATGACACTAATTTCTGAATGTAGCACTGGGTCACCCGTTAGTAAATTAATCCTATCCGTACATTGTGTTTTACTACAGTATCCATACAAGATGGGGAACTCTGTGCCAGCACTTTCCAAAGAGGAAATTTACTCGTTAATCCGATCTGTACACTTTGCATAGCAGTCTGTCAAAATGATTTTTTGAGAAATATCGAAAGTTTTAAAGAGATCTTCGTACTAGATACTAGGAGTACTCTAAAATGTGAAGAATACAACCCCGGGGGTACAAAATGACCCCATGGTGTACGGATAGGGTTAAAGAGTAGTAGGCCTACAGTCAGACTTTGTGAAACTGATGCTGCCCAAAAAAGGACATAAAATCATGACAATGACAGTAACTATCTTTATTCATCTCACAGCTTGTGCAAAGCAAATTAGCTCAATGGTTACATTTACACTCTACAATATAACAATCAACTACATACTGAAAGCTTTTTCAAACAAAGTTTAACCTAGCTAGAGACCAACCATTCATGTGGGAAATCAGTTTCAAATTAGTCCAGAAACGTCAACACTCACATGAGGATCAGAGGACACCCGTAGCCAGCATAGCACATCTTGAGGCTTGTATTAGCGCCAGGCCCAGCACTACCACCGAAGATAGTCAAACATTCCTGGAAATACAACAGAAGGTTATAGCAACCAGTACTTTGATTTGGCATAATAATATCTTAATCAAATTGATGTCGAAACTACTGATCCTTATTTGAAATAAATCATATCATTAACACAACAAAAGGAAAGGGACATTGGGAAGACGTTGCAACTACTGTAATTGTTTCAAAATTGTTCTCATGATAAATCATCATTTGAAATAAATCACACCATTAACAAAAGGCATGGGACGAAAAAAATAAATAAATAGAAATCAGTCATCAGTCGATGTCACAGAACTGGCCCCTGAGTAAGGCAACTGTAAGAGTTATAAAGTACTCCTTCTCAGGTTCAGGTTAATCTAAAAATCTTATTAAACAATGAAAAGAAAGTAGAAAAATTCTTACCAGGAGCACAGTTAGGTTGATCTTGAAGGCTAGCTGATCTTCCTTGATGGAATATTCGTGAAAAATGGCTTCTTGGACGAAAGCGTTCGCTTGAGCACACTTGGCATCCTCCACAGTGACCTTCAAGCCCATGGGACTGGCAAACACAGTTGCTGTCTTTGTAACCAAAAAACAGAGCAAATGTATCAAATGCATCCATAAAAAAAAATCCAAACAAAATTTGAATCATCAGCATGAAAGATCAATGATCACTTTTTAAACCTTCTCACTGCTGGTGCTTTTGTTTCACAATCTTTATTTTAATTAATGTAGGAGTTTTTTTTAACGCCCCCATTTACACAAATTGTGTCACGACGCGGTGGAATCACGCGCTCATCAAATTTGGGCACTTGGAAATATTAGTATCATTTAAAGCTTGTTCATTTGTCTCTTTTTTGATAAAAAATGTGTAAATTACATGTTTTGTTCCTTTAATTAATGTTTTACAGAAAAATCCACATTGGAATGTATTTTTGAATAGACATAAGACTTTTTAAGAGGTGTTGAGCCAAAAAATAAAATTTCGAACAAAATTGCAAAACGATAATAAGAAAAATGCCATTTTCTTTGATTTCATTATTTTGACCAGGCTGCCTCACATTTAGGTCATATAGAAGGCCGTCCCAACCCAGGCTGAGAGAAATACAACATTCCAGCAGAAAGACCAATATACTCTTTAAAAAATCACCTCACTCTGGAATCAAACTGAGGTTTCCTGCATGCATGCAACAGCGAAGTGCCTAATCTAAGGCATTGAATAAACGGGGTAGGGGGATGGCACATTCAACTTCACACCCCTGTACTAGTAGGAACAAACCTGTTTTATTTCTCCTTCAGTGAATAAAACAACAAGAGATCCTGAAATTTTTGTGATTTTAGTAAGTTGCAGTGACAACTTTTCACATTTAGGAAAAAAAAGTTTTATTACAAATATATAAACCAATTATCTACAAGTTTTAAAAATGCACAGAAAATTGAGGTAGCCAACCTGGAACCAGTACTAATACTGAGGATAATTTTCCATTTACCAAAAAAAGCAAAGTTTAATTCAGATTATATCTAGATTCTATAAATAATGTTGCCCCCCAAAGTCCAACCCCTCGTCCATCGTCGCGGAAGGTGGAAACAGACAAAGTAGGAGATTGCTGGGTTTGGAAGATGTATGGCGTGGGTTTTACTCACATGACCGCTATGGTAGCCATGAAGACCATCCCGGATCACCCTGAAACGTCCGGCTAACGGGGCTCTGGTGAAACCACGACAGGCCTAGCAAGCCGGTGGCGGATTATTTATTGCTAAAGAAAATCACAGGAGAAGGAAACAGATGGACCAAAATGGAAAACGACCAGGAAACGGAAAAGGGCAACGAGAAAGAACGAGCATTTAGAATGTTTGTGGAATCAAAAACAAAGACCCAGAAGTTATTGGCTTCATGAAGAGATGGAGAATACCGGTGATGGGAATTTCAGACTGTAGATGGAAGAGAACTGGAATCAAACAGATCCCTGAGGACTACGTCCTGATTTGGAGTTGTGGGGATGGGACAACTAGGGCAACACATGGTGTAGCTTTTATTCTACACCCGGATACAGCAAAGAATGAGTTGGAAACAGAGTTTATCTGAGGGGATCATCAAAATCCGAGTAAGGGGAGAACAGTTCAGAAGATCTCAAACTTCATCCAAGCTTATGCACCTTGAAATGACTCCTACAGCGAAGACCAAAAAGAGGAATTCTTTGAGAAGATGGCAGACACCATAAGCACAGTCCCTGACAATGGAAGAGAGGGCAAGAGAAGAACACCTTGGGACCAGTACCTTGGCCCACACAGCGACACTAACACAGAGTGCAACTACAACGGGGAACAGCAGTGGATCACAAACACCTTTTATCAACACAGACCCAGTCAGAAAAAACTTGGTACAGACGGAACGATCTGAATGTATCATCACAGATAGATCTCATATTGACACGAATAGAAGAAAGGGGAAGAGGCACGGGCATGAGAGCCATCCCAAAAGCAGCCCTGGACACGGACCACCGTTCAGTTATCTTATTTACACAGCAGCGGAGTGGAAGAATGAGGAAAAAGAAGAGGAAAGGAACAGACGGACAGATCAACTTAAGAAAACCCCAGAAGGAAGAAGTATGACAGGAAATGGAGACAGAAGTCACACAGAAGCTGAAAGAAGTAGACAGCTCAGAAATGACCACAGAAGAAACATGGTCAGTGTTCAAGACCGTGCTGACAGAGACACTCCATAAAGCCTGCAATACAAAGAACACGGGAAGAGGGCAGGTAAAACAGACAGCTTGGTGGAATGACACAGTAAAGGAGGCCATCAAAGAAAAGAAGAAGTTGTACAAGGCGTGGGTAAAATCAAAGCTAGATGAAGACTATGTGACTATGTGAAATTCAGACTTGCAAGACGTTATTGCAAGATGATAGTCAGAAGTAACAAGGAACACTGATGGAAGGAAATGGCGAATATTAAGTTAACTGTGCAAACACTTGCCATGACAGTTCTACATAAGTGTCAAAGCAATGAGACTATGAGACAAACCATACAGCCCAACAACGGTAGTCAAAGACAAAGATGCAAAACCACTCAGTGAAGAAGACAGCATCAAAAAAAGATGGCAGGAGTATTTCAGGGAACTCTTTAACCCAAGCAGCCAAGGAAACACACAGAGCCAATTTCAACCACAATACACAGAAAAAGAAGAACCAATCATCTTAAGATCAGAGGTACAGCAAGCACAGAAGAATAGCCCAAGGAACAAAGCAGCAGGCATTGATGGCATTACAACTGAAGCTATCCTGGCATGTGGAGAAACAGCAATCACCTGGCTGACCACAATATTCCAAAAGGCATGAAGGGAGAGGAAAGTCCCAGAAGACTGGCAGCATGCAGTTGTGATACACTAATCTGGAAGAAGAAAGGCAGCAATAAAGACTGCAACACCTACCGAGGAATTTTGCTTCTGAGACACACAGGCAAGATGTACACAAAGATCTCGGAACAGCGTACAAGGCACAAATTGGAACCATTACTGGGTGAGGCGCAGATGGGCTTCAGAAAAGGGAGAGGGTGCACAAATGCTATCTTCGCTCTTAGACAACTCAGTGAAAGGACAATTACATACAACAAAGAGCTAAATCTTGTGTTTGTTGACCAGGAAAAAGTGTTTGATAGAGTAGATCTCTATAAAAACAAACTGTAGCAAACACTTGAAGAATACAATACAGCATTAGGGGACAACTGCTGGACAACATGAGAGCCATCTATACCAACAGTATGAGCACAGTCCGCATCCAAAACGGACTCACTGACTTGTTTGATGGGTCATCTGGAGTGAGACAAGGGTGTGTATTATCACCGCTACTATTCATAATATACATGGACAAAATTACGAAAGAAGCAAACCCCAACCTGATAGACCTGAATGAGATACTGTTTGCGGACGATCAAAGCCAGGCATACGCAGTGCTGATAATGAGAAAAAGTCAAAAAAGAGGAAAATATTCCGCCCCTGTTGCACTCCCAAAATTTCATCATAGAACTCTAATACTAACTACAATAATATAACACATGATACCTTTATCTGTAGTAATATTTTGGAAGCAACAACAAAAAAAGCGGAAATCTACAGATCCGCGGAAGATTATCAGCACTGCATTGAGAAAGAATATGAAGAAGAAATGAAAATTAATAAGCGGGGCACGCTTATTGAATACAATACACGGTGGCCTAGTGGTTAGGCTCTCGGACTCGCAACCGTAAGGTCATGGGTTCGAATCCCGTGCGTCAGGGGCCCGACGTTGTGTCCTTGGGAAAGGCAATTTACACGAATTCTCCTCACTTCACCCAGGTGGGAATGGGTACCCGGCTATAGACAGCAAAAGATCTTGTCAGTTTGTTAGTGTTTGAGCGCTTAATCAGCTGCTTGCACTGTATGCTTCCTGGGAAGCTGAGAATGTTTCGGAGTGTTCTATGGTCTGCTGGGGTAATAATATAGTGTAAAGCGCATAGAGCCTGCTGTTGAGCGGGGATATGCGCTATACAAATGCTATCTATTATTATTATACCTTAGAGTAACCACTACACCACAGACCCCGATCTATTTACTTCTCAATACAGCCCCAGCAAAGTTTGATGCATTTTCCCCAGGGGCTCATTAGAGAATAGGCCTACCATGTTTTATTTTAAGAGGACTCCACTACACTACATAGTAAAAGTACAAAACATGTTATCTTACATCTTTAAAGTGAACTGCTTTCAGCATTGTTGAGACATTTCGAGCATTGTCGAGAGCAGCTACCAACAAATACTGGTTGTCTTCTTCAGCCCTTTGAGTTGACAGTGTGCTGGTCTGCGATTCCATTGCTTACAGCAATAGTAGCTAGCCTCCTCAAGAAAGAACACGCTGAGAAGATAATAAATGTAGAAAAACGATAAGTGAGTCCAAGCGTTGGTTTCCAACATTACAATTATTGTTTTTCTACTGCAGTCCCCTGAACAAATACAGTGGAACTCAAGATTCAATGAAGTCGTCCGACCTGGCCTTTAATTTAGATGAATCGGAGGTTCGTTATGGCGAGTGTATGAGGTTTTTGTGTAGCTAAGTATAGGCACTGAGCAAGTATAGTATAATGTATTGAACTTTCTCAGTCAAAAGTAGTTTGGTTTCAAACAAGAGGCATTCCGTTTCTTTGATACCAAAAAATTGCTGGAAAATACGCTGAACTCTACCAAGCACACACTGTGCAAAAAGGCCCATTTTTTAAAATGCACGCCTGCATCACAAATATATAACATTATATTGTTTGTCAAACAAATTATGTTGCCGTGTAGAGTCTAGCATACGGAAATGCTTGATTCCACACTCCAACAAGCAATTCATTTCGTAAATCTATAATCAAAATTAGCATTGTAATATTGATCAGTATTCGGGGGAAAAATAACTGTCGCGTTTGCATCTCTAACTGACGTTCCATGCCCGGACCGTTTGTACTCCCTCCCCCCAGACATACGCTCATACAGTCACACAACACATGTGTGCTGGCTGCCAGTCCGACACCCACACACGCAAAGACATGGGTGCATGATAACAACACGTGTGTTGGAATGAAAGGAGGCAACTGATCAGTCGCATGCAGTTCACCCTGCAAGCAACTTCATTGAATCCTGAGCTTGCTCATCTAAGTCGTTGAATCAGAGTTATTCTTTTATTGATTGTAATGAATAAAAAAGTGGAAGAGGCTAGCCGTACTTAATGACGGCTAGACTGGCAGTCTAG